GCGGCGATGGAATTTAGTGGATTGGTTAGAGAGTTGCCGCCACGGGAGAATAATGAGTCTGCGGTCATCTCCAGGCTGTTTTCGCGGCGGCGTTTGCGAACGGACCGGAACCACAGTGAAAATATAATTCAACCGGGCACACGCCGAAAAGTTTTGGCCGAGTAATGAAGAAGGATAAGGCAGCTGGCAGTTGGTATGTAGTGGTATGCGGGTAGATGTTCACGGAAACGATATTTTGAACGTTAGAGCAACGCCTGGTGCAATTTATCGTTAAACTCGATTCGTACGTTACGCGTTGCTGAAGCATCCGTCACTGCATTCATTGAGAAAAACACACATTGTACGCCTATTAGTATTATTTGCTACCGTCCGTGATACTTTAAAAATATGTATACAGTGCATCAAAAAAATAGATGTGTAAATACACATCTATTTTTCCGATGCACTGTATACATATTTTGCATTAAATTTTAAAACTAATTAAAATTTTCCGATAGCCTTTTACGTGTTGTTTTTTTTCAAATAGTTTCTAAAATTTTGCGCCGAAATTTATAGGATAAAAATTTTTAGGATTAAATTAATTAAAATGTGATAAATAAAAACATTCGGATGATTTAAATTAAAACTTTTAATTTAAGAATTTGTGTAGAAAATCAATCGTTTTCTTTCTTGAAATGTGCTTCAATGAAAAGTAGTTAATAAATCCTCGACAGAGTCGCACAAGTCAAGAATCGCAGTCATTTGCTCGCCGAAGTTTGCAACGAATTTCGTACTCATTTCATAAATTTCCGAACTAACTTATGATTATTCAAATAACTTATCGTGGAATAATTTCAAGAGTTCATTTCGCCTGACGTAACATCGAGAAGATCGCGAGAAAACTTCGGATAGTGCGAGTTCACAAATTCACAAATTCTTAGAAAGCATTCTTGCTGGAATAATTTTATTGGCTTTTCGAAACGTCTGCATGACATTTATGAGGATTAGATTCTATCTAGAAAAACAGATAATATTATTCAGATAATAATATTATCTTTCAAATCTTTAATAATAAATTGTAACTATATACATATAATTGTATAACAATTTAATCACACTTGCGATAAATAACCGGGTTACATTTGTTTATTACATTTTTATTTTCAAGAAATGCAGAATTTTGATTGTGTTTCAGAAGGGGATCAAAATTCTCATTAGTTTACGTTGTTACAAGTAAACAATGCGAACTTCGTGCTTCATTTATTTATGAAACACATCTCCGTGAAATAGTACTGTTACGAGCAATTTGATAAGATTGCCCTGAAGGTTCTTAAAAGCGAATCCCCGTTCGAATCTAATCTCTTCGCGATAGAGGATAACGTATCCGTTCCACATAATCTTTCCTTTTATCACCGTCATCCTCGTTGATGCTTTCGAGGCCGTGGTTAAATCCGGCGATTGACAGACGAAGATTGAATGACGGCCACGCTCGGTGAGGCAGGATAAGACACCGTTTAACGCAATATCAGACGGGAAAAAAGAAAAGGCAAGGATAGAAAAAAAATATAAGAATATAAGAAGAAAAAAGATAACGAAAGGTAAAAAGGGCTGGTAGAGAAATGTAAAGGCACGACGCAGATTAAAAAGACGTCTATATCCACGATCGTAGAGTTTATCCACATGATAGGTATTCATTTGTTTCGTCTCTCTCTCTCTCTCTCTCTCTCTCTCTCTCTCTCTCTCTCTCTCTCTCTCTCTCTCTCCTCCTCGTGAGCAAAAGCTTCTAGTTCTCATTTAACATCTCTTTTAATATCATGATGTATGCGTTCCTTAATGCGTGCCTTAACGCGGATTGAGGACTGTTGTTAAGTTAGCGAATCTTTTTAAAGCCCGTGTTTAATAAGTTTTTTTTTTGCGGGGCGGAGAGGGGAGGAGGGGTACTCTGAGATATTTCTCTCAGACGCATTCTATTATAAATATACTCGGAAACGAGGGGAAGAAATTTCAGGTCCATTTTACGTTAACTAAGTTCTTTGTCTCTCGTCCGTCCTTAATCGCGATATAATTCCTCGTCGCATCGAGAAGGGATTCACGGCAACGCATTTTTAATTTTCTTTTTTCTTCGCCCCTCCGTTTTTCTCTCCTTGCACCGAGCACCGAGTCGGTGTCCCGAGGCGATGGATGTTGTTTGCTCGGATAAAGGATTCTTCTGTGTGCACTGCCCTTGTCCCGATCGTTGCGAACGTGATTTAACGGAGCCAAGATTGGCCTTCCAGTCCCATTATGCGTTTCTGAAGATCATCCACGCGGGCTACCCGGAACGTTTTCCATATTTTAACTGAAAAAAAGCCTGGCCTGGCGCCTCGGGCGTCTCGATGGCTCGCACCTCTCATTCTCCCCTTTCGCAGAGGGGAATAACGATAATTTCGTAATGCGGACCAATCTTCCGAATTGCAAGATCGTCCGAGGTGCCGGTAGTTAGCGTTCAGGGATTAAAAGGGGATCGTTTCGTCGCGCTTTTGGGGACGATCGGCGCGGCGGCTGTTCGAGACGTAGAGACGCCTTCACGAACTCCGCGGCGTTCCGTCTTATTTTATACGGCGCGGCTTTCGAAACGTTTATGTAAAATAAATGCGCACGGGCGGTCGAAAGATTACGGCCCCCCTCCCCTCCCCAGATTACGGCCAGGGAATTTAAACACTAGAAATTAGTAGAAAATGAAGCAATAAAACTCTTTCGCGTTGATTAATTCTCTTCCTTTTTCTTCGGCTAAATATTTATTACGTTCAAAGACGCGCGATGTACGGTGGTATATAATCTGTATAAATTTATAATTATATCGTACATATCGCACCAAGTGTCCCGGATGTAGGGAAACCATCTGCGCTGTCTCGTATTTATGTATTCGACTAGATAATAATCGAGGCTAAAGTTCCCCCGCTCGCGTGTTGCGTTCCCCTCGCTCTTGGCGAATTTCGGTTACCTCGGTGCCGAGATCTCCGGGATACATCCTCCGCGATCGCGGCCACCGCGGACTAGCCGCGGCAAGTTTCCCCGGTAGCCCCTCGGGAGTTCTTCTCCCCCTCTCGGTAACGCGTTTAATGGAACTTGCCAAGGATCCGTTCCCGGTGGACCATGTCTACCGATGGAGGCGGCTAACTTCGTTTCCCTCGACTCGCACGAAACGCAAGCTCCTCGTTATCCTTACTCCACTCACTCCTCTCCCCTCCCCCCTCCCCTCCGCGATATCTTTGCGCTTCTCTTCCTTCCGCCGCCAACATTCGCGAACTTTATCCTTCGATCGCACTCGTGATCCCTAAGACGCGCGTCCATTACCTTAGTTCCCGAACTTTACAGATACGAGCGCAGTCGGAGCGTCGCTCGCTCCGAGAAAGCTTGTTCGCGAATTACCAGAACTTAAAATTCTCCATCGATGCGTGACGTCTTGCGAAATCGAATTCCTAAACTGCTTCCCGAAGTCCCGCACGTTCCTTCGATATCTCACCTTACGATATCATCGATTTCTAAAACGGCGATCCTTTTCAATATTAAAAGGACGGCAATTGAATACAACAATATTTTTACGATATTAAAGAAAAAAGTAACATTAAGATTCATTTGTATGTAAGTAGCGGAAATGATAAAAGTGTCTTACGATCGGAGAGTTTTGTAACTTATCAGAAATTTCTTTCAATTATAACGTAATTTGGCCTCGCCTTCTCATACGCTTGATCGAGCTCTTTTGAGAATTTTAGACGAACCGAATTGTCCTGTAATACGGCGGTCGAAACTCAATTACTTTCTCGAAGCAAGGCCTCACGAGCGCTACGTTCGCTACTACCGTCCAGTCGCGTTTCGAACTCATTTACCGTAGAAGCGAGTCCATCGTTTTGCTCCCCGACGATGCGATCGCCGAGGGAGCCGGCGAAACCTCACCCAAGACTCGAAACTTCCTTTCATTCGATTCCGTTGCACATTAGCGGACA